ATATAATGTTCTTTGGTTTGTATAAACTTTCAATAAATAAAAGATATTATATATAGATTTACATACCGACAGTAAGGTAAATGTTGCCTCACGGGTCCTTGATTCACGAAACTGTTTTGTCCAGTTTGCAGCAAAATATAATGTATTCACAGCAACCAGTGCGGTGCTCGGTAAAATGGATTGTTGTGGCAATAATTGTTGAATTTTCCCTTTAAAAGAATAAAATAATGATATTGGAATCTGTACTTTGTTTTGAATCATTTCTGCCTTTTTGCAAAACTAACATTGATCAAGGGACTAAGGCCCCATTCACACTATGATGTTTAAGATTCCTGCAGCAGGAATCTCAAATCTCCTGTTTAAATGTGGCTGCTGTCTCCTGTTCAAGATAATGACTGGGTGACAGCGGCCTCATCTCTAATCGGCTTCTGCATGTAATCATATGTAATATGATCACATGCGGTTTGGAATAGATCACTGTCCATGGATGCTCGATAGATGCCTGCATAGTGTGAATGTAGCCTTATTCCTGTAAACAGCCAATTACATTTTAATATAAAGATGACAGATCATTCCACATCTCATGTTAATTAGCATCAAAACAAACCTGTGATGATAGAGACATGATAGCAGCCATTGCTGACTTTTTATACTAGGTCCCTGGCTGTTATTCATCCAATTGACCCTTTACTTTCTACACAATTGGGCTGATATATTAAAGGAGTTGAAAATCTTCACTTAAAAGTAAATTTAAAGTAAAAAGAAAAAAATTTAAAGTAAAAAGAAATTTGCTTTTCACATGATTGGACAATTGAAGATAATCTTCACACTTTTTTTGTAGTGAAGATACTCAAATCCTTTAATAAATCATCCTTACTGTCAAAACTTTGCAGGATTACATGGAAATTCTTCAGGTCATGCAGCAAGGTACATTTGGGTTGAAGATTTAAGTTTAACCTAGGACAGTGTCCAGACAAAAATTCTGAACAAAGTATTATCATTTACTGCTCTGTTTTAGTGATGATAAAGAAACTTACATTTGCATATTTGAATTAGTATCTACTCAAGAAGCAGTTGTAACAGTAACGTAAAAAGAGTTGGAAGGAAATATCATGTTAAATTGGTAATCACAGAACAGCTATGGAAAAAATATCATGTTTTATAGCTAACACAAGGTGGCAGTATGACAATCAAATTCTAGCAAGGAATGAGGCCATCCTAGAGCTGGTAATACACTAATAGGTTTCCTTCATTCAGCCAATAGCCCAAACGGAAAAATTCAAATAGATTCGTCCATCTATGCTAAAGAGCGCAGATAGACGAATATCCTGTAGTCAACGATTATTAGCAGCAGCTGATATGGTGGCTGCTGAATAGACGGTACGTGTTTTTGGACAGGCTCCTTCGACAGAAGTTGATTGAAAAACTTTTGTCGAGTGGAGGGGTGCCAGCAAGACCAACCATGGCTCACGTCTCAGCCGATTCAACAGGAACTGGTCAAAAAATGCTCCCGACAAACTTAGACAGTGATAATAGTGCCTCACTCCTGTGCCTACAGTCTCATATCTGTAGAGTCAGAGTTAAGGTCCTGCTGCCTATGTCTACCAGTCATGGGAGATGTGAAGAGACAATTGAGGATCACTGCTTTCCATGCTGGAGGCATGGGAAGGCAAAGTTCTGTCTCTACCAAGATAGCTGCCTCCAGACAGCACAGATCAAGGCATGGTAAGTCAGTAATGAGGAAGAGATCAACTGCAGGGAGAGCACAGGCAAGTCCCTAGCCCTCTGTCTGCCTTTTGATGGGAACAGTTCCCAGAATTCAGTATTTCTTTAAGTAATGTCAGTAGTAGGCTTTTCTTTTTTCTTACATTTTTGGATCTGCTGTGGCTTTTATGAGGGGTTCCTAAGCTCTAAGAGGATCTGGAGCAAACAAAGGTGGGCAAGAACACCCAAAACTACCAGGAGAGAAACAGAGTTGCAAATTATGCCAAGGATATCTAGCTGTTTGAGTTTTCAGGACATGTGAGAAGCCAGAGGCTGGCTTAGCCCACCAGGTTTCATCTACAGCCAAAATACAATTTTTGGATGTAATGGTCCTGCAAGTAGCTGATTTATGAAATCTGGAACAAAGAAAATTGGGATAAATACAGAACATCTAATTAGGTTTCATATTTCAATTTAATTGTATATATATATGGTTAATTACTATATTTCTGTTTTATTTAATTTATTCCACTTTTCATTAATCATGCTTAGGCCCATTTGTGTCAGTTCCAACAACTGACAAACATCGGTTAGACAAATAACATATAGCTTCCTGTAAGCAGGTTATTGCATTCTGTGCTGCTGCTGAGATGTGTTTAGCCCGCCCTTACATCTATTTTATTTTTAATACTGAGACTCTGAATCATGGATAGTTTATACTTCATTCAAATTCCTTTCAGCATTGCTGACATTGACCCAGATCAACTGACTATGCTGTCTGGGTCATCTGCTAATTTCCCAGCATTTACAGTTCAACCCTCAATGGGTGACATCAGTGCCTCTTCACTACATTTGTTCTCCAGTATTCCAAGAGCAGTTTGGCAATATACCAATATTTGCACTGATCTAGGTCTGTATGGGCATGATTCCTTACATATACTGTATCTACATGTGCATGTTGGAGCTACTTTTGACTTAAAGGGGGTGATTTACTAACCTAAACACACACACACACCAGGTGTGTGTGATTTTCACACAGCAAAACGTATTTATCAACCAAAAAGTCTCTAAAAGCATATTTCCACTAATGCCATATATGAAAAAATCATGCATATATAATGCTGCTTCACAGTTTAGACAAAAATGGTTAGCTCATGCATTTACATTCCTTGCATTCATCAACGCAAGCAACACAACATAGAGCTAATTTACCCAACATCACCTTGGAATTCCTTCAGGGCTTTGCACAACACACCTGCTGGGTGTGTACACATTACAAAGGTGTTTAGATTCCACCCATAGATCATGCTGGGAGGGAACACACTGCAGAGGTGTATACACGTTCGTGGTGTGTTTATAAGGTTAGTAAATCAACCCCAAAGGGTAATTCTACTACTAAAACACCTAATGAAGGGCCTGCTCCTCCACTCATATCATGATGGTGCGTAATTTACCTGAGAAGCTTTTGCTGCACCACATCATTCTTATGTCTGAATTTTGACTTTCATCACAGTCATCACATATTTCCAGTAAGTGCACTGGGACTTTTAAAATAATGTGAATTCCATCCAAAACTAATCTCATTCCCTGGTGGTGTTGCTTTTCTTTTTTTATGTCTGTAAACTTAACGTTCCTGGTTCCGATATTCAGAACCAGGAGGAATACAGAGATGTGGTAGAAATGTTACTTCTTAACTTTTAGTTGTACCATCACTGTGGTTGGAAACAATCTTTCATAGTAAAAATAGTGTGTAATAATATCCCACCTCTTCTTAATATAAGGACATATGTTTGTTGGTGTTTCGGTGTAGTCCAGAGATGTCCCTAGTCTTTACTGTAAAAAATGTGTCCTGCATCTCTTATATAAGACAATTCACAGATAACATGGAAAAGCTCACTTGCTCGATTCATGTTGTCTTGAGATCTTGTGAGACTTCAGGCCTCCAGAGATTTGTCTAGAGTGGAGTGTGATGCATAGCATGCCCCATACCAGCTCTCCTATTCATTGCACATATTTTGGTTGATTTACTAAATGAGTAGATGCTGTTTACCATATTTACTACATCCACTTTGCTAAGTGAAAAGACTTTACCCCCATTGCCTCTGCCAATATAAATCACCACACACACACACACACACACACACCAGAACATATGACAGACTTACACATTTCACTCACTGTACAGAGTTGAGTGGGGAGAATATCTTATACAGTTGGAGTACCATTTGCTTTTCTCATCAACTATTCTTTCTATACATGGTTAAACTCATTAAGCTTTGTCCTCTGAATCCCCAGAAGACATGAATGAAGAACTCTAATTCCAGTAGCAGGACAGCCCAGCAGGCCAATGTCAACTCTCACATACCATGAGTAAAGCTGCCCCTACACATTAACATCTTTCTTGTTTAACCCCGTGGGTTGAACAAGAGAAATATTTTGTTTCCCCCAACCATGCTAAATGGTGTGGATGAAGGAATCTCCCTGGATTGGCTGCATTCACTGTTTAGCCGACAATTTCCCTCCCGCCTCCTTTAACAAAAGTTGATTGCCAAGTCGGTTGGTGCTGGCAGAGTCACTCACGGATTAAAATTTGATCTGTGCGTGACCAATTTAAGTTCAAAGACACCTCATTTCTATCCAGAATGAATTTTCGGTGTAAGTGGAATAACCTTTTAAATCGTAATGGTGCTTTATAGTCAATCTATTTAAACCATGTTTTCATTTTTAAGTATCCTCCTTCCTTTTTTTACAGCAGTTTCAAATAAAAATAAAACATACCATTTGTCTTTTGACTAATCCAGTTATTAATGAACTGCCTTGATTTTTCTGAATCATTATGAAAGTCAAGTTGTTCCATGCCTGCGCCATACAGATTCTTAGTATTTTCCAAAAATGACTGAAAAACAAAAAACAAAGTACATTAATGATACATTTTTTCAATTTTCCATTTTGAGATATTTTAAATATAATTACCAGAGCATGAAATATGCCCTTAAATTTAACTCTGTGCAAACAGCTAAATACATAGAATACATACATATAAGGAAGATTTTTTTAATTGCCAAAAAAGTTTGTATTTTTTTTCCTATCCAGCTCTGAGAATTACATAGCTCTGCCACACAACCCTGTCTGGCAGGGAAGGGGACCTGATTGTTCTCTGCTACAGTTAAGAAACACTTACACTTACTTATCATATTACTAAACCAATACCAGGTCAAATGTTGAAACTTACACTTCTTGTGTTAACAAAAAGATACATTTATTGATGACAGTGCTGCATATATAT